AATTGCCTGTCTTAGTTTGCTAAAAGCGTAAACTAAGGTGAGGTATGTTTTTCCTTCGATACTAAATATATCTATAAATAATTCCTGGAATGGGGCATGTTGCTTTTGAGTTAACTGTAAATATGGTTTCAAAGGCTTTCGGTCATATTTCATATGTTTACAGGCTTCACAAGAATTAATTACTGCTGTTATAGTTTCTTTCATGTTATTCCAAAAGAAGTGTCGCCTGATGCGAGTAAAAGTTTCTTGAATACCTCTGTGACAGGTTTTTCCGAGATGAAATTTCAGAATAACGGCGTTCTGTTCATTTTCATCGTCAATAAAAACGATTCTTTCCGTACACTCATAAAATTGAATTGATACACCTTTAAAAAGCCTAATTACCATGTTGCTGAATTGTTTGCGATGTTCCGTATTTCCGAAATATATAAAATATTTCTTTTTGGGTTTTATGTATTCTTTCAGGAATTGTTTGATTAAATAATTACACAATTACTCAATAATTATAGCTCACAGAATTTGATGTGAATCTAAACTTATACTTACTTTAGGGGTTGCAGAATTTCATGCACTAACCTACTTACTTCTATGTTTCTTTAATTTACTTATTACAATTTACCTTTATATGAATTTAACTCTAACAAAGTCTTAAAACTATCGTTAAGATGAGAGATGTCGATCTCAAAATAACAAAAGAAAAGTGGAGAGGGCTGGATTTGAAAGGTGAAAAGGTGACTTACCAGTACATCGCTGCCTCAACACTCGCACAAAACACCCTTAACGCTTTTGGATTTTTGTTCTTGACAAATTTATTTGTTCTTTTGAATAGCCGTTTTTAGCAATCGCGACGTAGTTTCCCCTTTTTAGGTAAGCAGAATTTGATGCTCGAACCGATAATTGAGAAGTACGTGCAGCTAGAGCGACTATCCTGTCCTCAGCGCCAGTCAAGTAGTGGGTCCGCGAAAAAGGGTTTTTAAAAACTTAAAGTTAAAATGAATACAACCGGTCCGATTTGAGGTCCGTTTAATACTAAATATTACAAGTATTCTATTATATTTATATCCTATTCTTAAAGGCCTACGTGACCGTTGTGCTGACACATTGTTCTCACGCTCTACAAGGAAACGTTACTTAGTAAGAACTAAGAGTGGTTCGTAAATCATGTAAGTGTGGTTCGTAAATCATGTAACAGCATTTCGGCTATTGAAATATAAAGGATCTTTGTACTACTATGTTGCAATGGTTTTTTGTTTATATAAAATATAATTATCCTATGGTGGTGACACACGGGATTATATAACTAGGTACATTAAAATGTAGTCGACACCGAAAACAAATATTAGTACCAACTGTTTATAAGTTTCAGTTGCGCAGTTAAAAAGCTTTTAAGACATCGAGCAACGAGGATTTAAATGTAAAAGATAAGTGAGGAATGAATTATTAGGCTTCTATATATAGGTAGTTTAAAGGCTTCCGATCTACTTAAATTGATATTTTACATCTTACTATTGTAAGTACACGACAGCAGAGACTAATAATAAGATATAATTTAAATATAGTTCTGCGTTATGGGTTTAAATAAAAATATATTTTACAGTATGTCTGTATTTACAATAGAAACAAACAACAATTTAGTAAAATTAAATATAAAAAAATCGAGCTGATCATCTGGTGAACTCCGTTATCCACTGTATTTATAATACATGTGCCGCTTACAACAATGTTATATTAAGCCGCCCGCTGACGCCCAATTTCATAAGCGAGGCTCCATTAATCATATTTATGCACTTCATTTAAGATATACTAGTGTTAATACTCTAGATTTTTACCACTGACAATATTATGCTTGCACCAAAAATAACTCTTTAATCAAAACTTACTTAAATTTATACTTGTAAGACAAAGCAACAAAGCGGAATAATTAAATGAAATTTTCTTCGAATTAAGCAACATAATAAATGCTTTGTTGTAAAGCCATTGAATCTATTTCGGAAACCCTCATAGAAGTTTAATCGCTTTTTATAACTTATTGTCCTACACTGAGCAGCTATTCCTATTTACCTAAATATACAATACAACCGACTCAATAGTTAGTTGAAATTACTATTAGCAATGAACAACCGGGTGGGAATAATGAAGGCACAGATGTGGAGGACTGAGACAATACGGCTGTACCTATCTGCCATTACTGCAGATGAGACAACAAAAGTGCATAGCTCCCTCATCACAATGTACATTGTTCTTTAGTTATTAAATGTTAACCAAACACCACAAACAACATACAGTAAATTAGCTCCGGTGATTTGAAATTATTCCCAAAGTAGTTCACCATTAATAAGTTGGATGATAAAAACTACATTCTATTGAAACGTATAGCTAATAAATTAAACCCTTGCTTGCTTTCACTGGGATTAACCTTCGAAAGGCTTTTCTTAATTGTAAAATTTATTTCAAGAGTTTGATCGTTATTTTTCAATAGTAAAGAACCTAAAATAATAATTATAGTAGTAGTCCAGTGACACTAAAACTCGAATTGCTACCGTATCTTTGATATTTTTTTTAACAGACAAGTATCAGGCTTCTGTGTCTGATGTTTTGTCGTCAAATTTTATTTACCTTTACCGTACGAGCGAAGGATAATTTCGTACATACATACAACTATAGGTGCACAGCGGATGTGTGATGACACTCCAGACTCTTTTGCAAACCTTTTAATATTCCATCCTTTTTTTCACAGGTGTTTTTAATGAGTAAAATGGAGAAATCTGCAGTTTGCAGATGCTCTGCTGAAGATTGATGCAACAGAGTTTTCGGTAAGGGGTAATTTGGTAGAGATTCGGTGGGACCCCGGCGCGGCGGCTGCGAGAAACAACGCGTTCACAAACACTAATTAAATCTTATTGCGGGACATTCGCGGTTGGTGACTTTATTTTTCATCTAAACATCCAAGCAATTAACAATTTAGTATTTAATATCCATTAAATTATTTCTAGATAAATAAAAATATTTAACAGACAGTTATCGAAATGGTCTTCTCTACCAAAAAATCTTTGTTAACTTAAGAATAATGTTAATTGTATTGATATTGTATATATATCAATTAAATATTATAAGTGTTTTATTTTTCGAACATTACCAATAATCATGTAAAAACGCAAACGGCAAACGTGTTTCGTTCGCGTGGCGCGTAATCACTAATCACATACCGATACCGGAGTCCCTTCGCCGTCGTCCCACGTTTTGTCACGACCACACTGACACCGCACAAAAACTACACAATTACACAACCACACGCGGCCACGACTCGATCGCCACTGGAGCCGGCAGTGGCCTTTGACGTGCGATAACTCGTTCCGAAGGCTCCGAGGGGAACAGCGAACAATGCTAACTCTTGCGCACCTGTATCAGCTCTTTTTTTACTTTTGAGGCGACGAACTTTTCTGCGCCAACCGGTCGACGACCCCACCAATTTAATGAACTTCGCACGGATTTACATTGAATGACAACATCGATCGAAGTTGTCGCATAATTGCGATAATTCATCAACGTGAGAGACATGTGAATAGACCCGCGAGGTAATACTTGAAAGATGACCCTCGCCGCTCGACTCTACATGGTCGCCTCTAGAAGAGATGCCCTATAAGTCGGCAATAACTCAGAACTGCTCGAGAGACTAATGATGAGAATAAATGAAAAACCAGGATGTATTATTCTTTTCATTATGGGAATCAAATAACCCAAGTAGAAGGATTTGTAATCTTGACGGTCTAGATATTACAGTAGTTATCAATTAACATAATTACAATCTAACAAATTATCTCTTTCTAGCAGCGTCGGTAAGTCACTGCGTAACTAGTAGTGAGATGTATAGGAATGCAGCAACCCACAAGGTCATGCGCCGACTGACACACATTCCTCATACTGGATGCTATCACGATCGTTTCAAAGTTCTAACCTCTATTTTTTAATTTTAATTCTGTCGTAAGGCATGTGATTTTCTAAGGCATTTCGGGACAGTGCCGACAACACATGCGGTGAAACACATTTTGTATCCGTTCAAAACAACTTACATTCTTTTAGACTCTGAAACATAATGCCATCAAGTACATAACAGTGACGCGGGAGGCCAGCCATATAGATAAACTAACGACTAAAGCTGTTATAACTTATTTGTAATAAATTGCAGGTAAATTAAACTTACGTTAAAATACAATAAATCTTACATTTGGCTTATAACTTATTTTTCTTTGTTGTAGATTGTGACTTTACCACTTTTTCCTCTTTTAAGAATTAGTCTTTATTTCGATAACGTCATGTAACGTGGGATTATGTTATTCTGCATGAAGATCGCTTTTGTGGCGTTTTGTTGCACAATTATCAAGTTATCTCGATTCGTTTATTATCTTCGTTGAAATTTATGCAATATATTTTGATAATTTCATCGTATTTTTTAATTTTAACGGTAGATACATTTCAAAAATATAAGAAAAGTTTTGGATTGTCGGAAGCATATCTAATATTAGAGTAACTATATATTATTACTTTTCTAGATGTCCTAATATTAAGAAATAGTAACAATTATTAACTCCGTTTGTAAAAAAGTTGCATTCATTGAACTTGCTGTCGTGCGTGTTTGATGATATACTGGAGAAACAGATCGTACCCTGTCATGTTTCATTTTAAAAGCTAACCGCAAAAATAGAACTGAGAAATGGCTCTCTGCCTACACTGTACATTTAAGGTGCGAGTGATGAGGGAAACATGAACAATGAGCGCTCTACGAGTACAAATCTGCGACAAAAGATTACTGTTAAGTAGAATACGTCTTGAGGAATATATTTGTAGGCGTAATGGCTCCCATGATGAATAACAAAGCTGTTAAAATAATCGCAAATTGCGGAGAAATAATCGCAAACACCTACTTCAGGAAATCTTGCAGAAAAGTAAATAATGAAAAACTTTTCATTTTATTATTCCTTCTAAGACTGATTGAGTATTACCTGGTGCGGATGCTCGGTCTCGAAGGCGTGGCAGTAGTGCGCGTGTGCGCGATCCCGGGGCTCACGTGCGACGAAGGCGAAGAGCGCTCGTGGCGCGTCACATGTGGCGAAGGAGATGCGACGCAACGCGTGACTCATGCGCAGCCCAGCGCCACGCACGCGCACACCCCACACACCCACCTCCACCACGGCAGATACCGCAGGCTGACCGGCGACAGCGGCACTGCCCGGCTGAAACCAACGCGTTACAAAATTACTAACAACACTAATTATATGAAGTGTATTGTTTGCAAAGCTTCTGTGGATATTTATATTTTATCACAGTCAGGATAAGTCAAAGAGATTTGTACTATGCACGATAGCTAACTATAATTTATACCCATATTATGTATATTATATATATTTAAAATTAGATCGAATTATGACGTCCTATAGTTTTACACTCTGATTACTTACTCGATCACTTCTGACAGATTATGTGAGAGAGTAAAAAGATTTTAAGTAGCTAAAAGCACAATGTTTGAAGAACCCTTTCGGTTATTAGATATGAAACATAAACAAGATTAATTGTGAAGCTAAGCACAAATCTGTGAACAATCAGTGTCACAAACCATTTTAATTTCATAACATACATATATATATTTAATTTATTAATTACTCCGTCCCTTACGGTCTAACCAATCACAAAATACAATATGGCTCCTATTTGACGTCTTAGTAAACTACCACGAAACTAGAACATTTGAAAATAATTCTAGAGGTTACTCTAGAATTCGAAATCGAGATTCGGAAACATTTTTACTTTTGTTTTACTATTTTACAAAGTTATTTAATATTTTAGAATGTTTAATTTACGAAAATATATAATTTTATTTAAATTGGTAAATATTATAAGTAAATCAAATCGGGCCATAACTCTAAAATTTATGACTTTTGTATAAGGATATATTTGTTCGTATCAACTTAATCTTCATCGGATCTATATAATTAAATAATGCATTGTTTCGAAAGCTATCAATTAAGCTTACATTATTATCCAATCCTGTGTCTGAAAAGTTGGTTTGAGAACTCGGCAGGCGAGTCGGCAGTCTCGAGTGAGCTTACAACGTGCTGTATATTGGCGCGTGTACTTTGCAGTGTAATGAGTGTATGCCGGAGCTTACTCCAATAACTGAGGCTTATTCCGTTGTTTCAGCTATAAAATATTTTCCGTATTTTCTATTCTCTATATGGCGTAGTCTAGTCACGTCTATTTGGAAATATGGACTTTATTCATCAACTAGTCATAAAGGAAGCAAGACTATACATAATGTCACAAGCCACAGTAGATAAAGCTTCAATTATTTAACGAAATTTTTCTAAAGTTGTCTTGTAGAAAGTATACAGACCCGGGTCTGAAACGGGTCACCCGACAGCTCGCATGTCGGTGACCCAGCGAAGACCTACAAACTGAAAGTTTTGAGGGCAACGAGGGACAAAGAGTATACAAAATGACGAAAACTGTATATCAAAGTGTTACTGTATAGCTGTGAGCGTTGGGACCCAAGTGTGACATCGTGCGATACCACAACAGAAGTGTTATTAGGCTTACTAGGTACTTGTTGTTGTAGGCCTTCGTGTAAATTTTAACACATTAATAAATCAACATTGAAATTTTTGTAGGCGTAATAAAAGAAATTTAAATTAATCGAAGATCTGACAGCAGCGGTGAGATCGTTACAAAAATCTTCCTGCGTGCCAGCCGCAACGCCTCCAACAGGAAATCGGGATTTTTTTACATCAGATTATGGAGCTCAGAAAAATGGAGCGAGGGTACAGTATATAATAAAAATAAAAGTGTACCCTCGCACGTCTGTCGATAAATCTCGTAAACAACCAATAGTTACACAATATTATTATTGTCACAAACCCAGACCTCTTAAGGTTATTTGATAGAAATTTGCACAGACGGATACTCTGCAAGCACTGATGGACACTAGTTTACAATGTTCATTCATTAAAAAAGAAATCGATAATTGTTTACCAAAAATAAGAAATAAACTTTGATCACCCGTCTTACATTGATTATTATTTCATTTTACCGTGTTTTTCGATTATGATGATGAGTTCCATATGATGGGTTCCATACCAAAATACAGTATCTTGTTTTTTATTCGTATTTGCTCCATTATAATATAATCTGAAGTAGGTAGGTATTTAAGACCCTTGTTCACCCCTAAATAGCGACGGCGCAGGCGATCAGATCTTCGCGATGCTAGTGTTAATGTGTGTCTTATTTTAAGCATAAATACAGAGTTAGATAAAAAAATCACCGACTTAATGATATTAAATCCTATAAGGCCATAATGGCAATTGAGAGATAATTATTAAAAAATAATAGAACGAACCGTTATGCATGAGATTGCTAATGAGATAGAAAATAACGTGAGAGCTCGTCGCCTTTTTCTAGACCCGTATTGCTTTTTAAGAAGGTGGATGGATCCGACCGTCTTTGCGTTGATTATCCGGAACTTAACTCCGGTGGTGTGGCCGTGCACCTAGGGTTCCATGAAGTATTGATGGAGTGGTTGGGTGTAGTTGAGGGGAACGCGTTTCACTGAGTTTTGTCGCCTGGCTTGACTTCACGATCTGCATGCCAAACTCTAAAGCTTTTTCCATATGTTCAGAACACAAAAGGACAAGATTATAAAATTGTTGTAAAGAATGGTCTATTAAATTACATGAAACCGTTTGTCGTGCTAATGGGCAAAAAGAGCCGCTAATGTGTCAGAGTCGCTGAAAAACATGATGACATACCTTGGAAATTCGTTATCGGTAAAATTCGGAAAGAAGCTTTGAATTGTACAGTTTCGAAAAATACGGGTCCGTTTCAGGTTTTGGGGTTTCTCAGGTTATCAGGTTTTTTTCAGACAAATAATAATTTGTCTGCAAAAAACCTGATTACATTTCACTATCTCGTCCTAGATGGGAGAATGAGATGCGAGAATCTGGATTGGACTGGAATAAAACAAGTAGCTAAAATTAGGAAGGACGAGCAGTCAACAAGATATACAATGCGTTATGACGCTAATAAAGCTGGTCGTCCTTTTGTAGTAGGTGATTTAGTTTTGGTTAAAAAAATCCTCGTGTGATAAACAGTTATACAACCTTTATCTGCTGAATTTACACAATATAATATGTGCCACTAATAATTGTGGAAATATCTAAATATTACTAGACATATCATAGGCCATTCAAGTACCACTTAATTATAAATAGACCTGCGAATAACTACGCTAATTGAGACACACAATGGAAGTCACTCTATGTAACTTGCTCTACTTGATTAAAATTTTTTGCATTCAGCTTCTTCTACTCTAAAAACATCAGTATATTCATTAAAACGTTATATTTATATTTTCTCATATTATTTAGACCTCGAAGAGATCTCGAAGTTAAGACGCCACATTTGTCTCGTTTCATTCGTATACTAAATTAGTAAAGAGGTATTTTAGCTAAAAGGTGACAGGTGTGAGGCGACAGGGGTGTAATCCTCTCAGCGAAAGTTATAATGCCTAGTTGTCTACGTAACACATTAGGACGCCCTCCGCCCGAACCGACACGGTGGAGTAAAGTGTAGCGAAGTGACTCTCGAACGTGCAGCTGCGGTAGAGTTGAACGCTGCGCTTCTCGCTTTGAACTTTGGAAACTATATTTAAAGAGTTTTTAAATTTCAAAAGCGATGGCGGTTTTTAGTTTTTATTACTTTCCTAAATTTTTCAAATATATTATAATACTACTACATTTATTATTGATCTACAAACAAGTCCTGACACCTTATGGTTGCCAGCTGTGTGGCTGTACCAATAATAATAGTATCATCCAAGTAATCCAACGATTCCAAAAAAAAGTGCTCAGCGGAATAGTCAATGCTCCCTGGTTCATTCGCAATTACGACCTCCATCGGGACCTTAATGTAGAGGACGTCGCCACAATAATAAAAAAGACTGCCGGAGCCCACGAACATAGGCTCCACATCACGTGAATGTCGAGGCTATTCAACTCCTTGACACCACGGGCCTAGTGAGAAGATTGTGAAGGACAAAACCATTTCAATTAGTGTTAGTGCACGTTAGTATTAAGTGCTAAACAGTGAGTGAAAAATAGAACACAAGAACAAAGTGTCATCCCTTTAATAGAGACTGTAAGTAGTGTTATTGGACACTATATTATGTTAAATATCCTTATTAGGTTAGACTTAAATTACTTATTAGTCTTAGGTTAGGCTAGATCGTTATGTTCCATGATGTCTTAGTAAAGACACATGTATTAAAAAAAACTACTTATATTTTGACACATAGAACTCAATCCTTTATACATATAAATATATATCATACTCTTCATAATCTCTGAGCTATTCATCCTCTTACGTATATTTAAAGAAAAAACTTTTTAACCGGATTAAAGTTATGTATTATTATAAATTTACAATTATTTAACATAATTTTAAATTTATCCGAGGTTTCGCGTGCTTTACAGCGTACGTGGTCACGGTGACCACGAAAGTTTTTTCTTTAAATGTGTAAAGGTTATGTTAATCAAAGACAATACTCTATAATTACGTAATATTTACGTAAAATATAATATACGTATATTTAAATTTAAGTTAGTAAATTTGAAATTAACAATAACAACTTGTCGTAGGATAACCTGTAATTTGTAAACTGTTATTGTAGCAGAACTCAGTATTAAGAAATGTTGATGTTTTGTTGTCGTGTGTGATTTTCATATGTCAAAAATCAAAATCGACGTTTGACGATTGGCGCTCGTACGAGTATGACATTCATGGACAATCGTTGACAGTCTTCTTTTTACTCACATTCTGTTTAATATTGGGCATATTTTATTGGCCCTCATTTTTATAGTAGTCATTATCATCACGGTAAGTTATAATAATACTAAATCAAATAATTTCATTATTTTCACCCTTCGCTGTAGATAGCATATTTCCTATGTTTTAGTAGTATTTTATCTTTTACTTTAATTTTAAAAATGTTTAGTTATGCCCTCAATAATGCCCTCGCTAACGCTCAAACTATTACACTGATTTGTTTGCGTCATTTCAATACTGTAACATTCATCCCTTTTCTTACCATAATCTTATCTTCATATCCTACAAATTACGTCCAGTAAACGTGAAACCACAAATCCTTATGCTATGAAATTTTAGTGGCATAAATACAGAGCGTTTATCTGGAGATGCTACTAGGATAGATTGGAACTCGGTGTACAATGAGAGCGATGTTCTCATGAAAGTTATGATTCTTAATTCATTGCTAACGCAGCTATATGACATTTATGCCTTCTTTTTCGTTCCAGTCGATTATTGAAAACGAAGTAGGGAAGAGCATCATGTCTATCTCTTCTAAAACCTTAGGTAGTGACTGCATAAGTCGGGACATGATCCATCGTATTGTTGACATATTAATTCCTGTGATAACACACATTTTCAACACCTCCCTTTGTGCCTTTCCTTATGTCTGGAAAAATGTCTACGTTATTTCTTTAACTAACATCGGAAACCCAACATCCTATTCTGATTAGACCTACCTTTAATTTCTAGAACGAAAAAACT